TGGCCTTGTACGTAAGAGGTTATGAACAGGTGGAGCTTTCCTTACCTCTTCCCCCTCCCCCTTTTTTCCTTTTCCTTTTTTCTTTCCCCTTTTTTGCACTCTGATTCACAATGTCACAATATATAGTCGGTGAAACTCCGACCAAAAGTTTGTCACAGCCCCTCTCGTTTGTTGTCCTCTTCTCCCTCTCTGCCTACGGTTTACCGGGCAGCTCTGCTTGACTATATAGTATATATATTGTCAATTTTCCCTTCCTCCCCCTTCCCCCCCCCCCTCCCCGCTCTTCCCCCTCTCTTCGTTGTGGTTTTTGCAGGTTCGTTAAAAAAAATTCGTTATGGCCTCTCCCTCACGCCTCGCTCTCAGTCTCTCAAGCCTCACACTATGCTATGTTGCTTCTACTGCACCTCCCACTCTAGCTGTGCCTACTCTCACTCTCTCTCCAGACTGGCTTCTCTCCGGCACCAGTGCTCCAGCCTCCAGCGAGCGCGAGCTGAGGCAGGTTGGTCTTTGTAGAGTTGACTTGGCTGGGCCTGCCTCCAGTGTCCCCCTCGGAGGGTCGAGATTCTCTGATCGCTGCAGCCCGGTTCTCTCGTGGCCTGTGTGCACCTTAACATACCGTCTTCACCCGAATAGAACGCCCGGTCATTATAGCTGTATTTGGCACAACTTTCAGCCCGCATACGGTGATAATTACTGGGCGTTCTATTCGGGTGAAGACGGTAGTAGGCCTTGGTGGTTTTCGAAAACCAACTCTGCCCCTTCTGCGACCATGGTTGGCTTATGGAGACGTCTTTTTCGACTCTCGGACTACGGTACCCGATATGGCCTGGCTGTTCACTTCCCTAGGGCCGGACTTGACTTCTGGGGGCCTTGGGTGCCTCGTTTTTATCTTTGACCCCAGGCCTACTGTGGGGGGTTGTGGCTTGCTTCTGGGTGTATATTGATTTTGAGATCTACCCTTTCCACTTTTAGAGAAGCAATCATGTGCCACGCCGCAATCAACTTCACCTCCTCCATCGATAGAAGGTGGTATCATAGGTCTTCTAATTGGAATCTCATCTCCGACGACTTGCAGACTGGGTAGGTTCTATGATTTGGGGTATAAAGATCAGATGTGTGGGACCATCCTGATCTCCTACCACCTTGAGAACTGCCCAAGGACCGGTGGGCCCAAGGACCGAAGTAGATGTGCAGCAATTTACAAGAGAGCCCTTCTCCAGTCCTTGGACTGAATCTGTGGAGACTCCTTTTACTCGTGGACTACTGTACACCGATAGGGCCTGAGTGTTGACTTTCTTGGGACTTAGACTTCACTTCTAGAACCCCTGGTGCCTGGTTTCGACGTTTGACCCGTGACCTTTGACTTCACCAAAAGCTACGACCCTAGGAATGACTTTTGACCCATGACCTTTTGGCCAAGTCAAAGGTCATGGGTCAAAAGTCATTCCTTGGTTTTCAAGGACTGACCTAAGGACTTTCTTTAGCCTGTCTAGAAACCCCCGGAATGACTTTTGACCCATGACCTTTGACTTCGCCAAAAAAAGCTACGACCCTAAGGCTTTGCTGAGCTGGTTTTGAACTTGGTTCGCTGCAATTACATGGATTGCCATTGGCAGTTTCAGGATTTTTTCAGTGGAACGCGTCGGAAAACAATAGTGGTGGTGGAACTCAGAAGTGAAATGAAGAAGGAAATCGGAATTGAAATCAAGAGGGGAATCAAAGAATAATTCAGAATTGCCTGGAGCTGGTCAACCATGATGCAGTATTTCAGGCCTGTCACTCTTCGAACAAAAAAAAAAAAACTGTCCTTAAAAACACATCCGTCAAAATTTGAACGACACACACACAGAAGACTAGCATGGCCCCTGCACGAGGATGACAAGCACAACTAGAGAAATTATCCAAATTGAAAAAAGAGAAAGAACCACGAGTCTTCCTCGTCATATCGCTGAGTTCTTCCCGACCTCTTGAAGCCAACAATTATCCTGTGCTGGGGTCCTGCCCCTCTCTAGGCAGTGCCACTTGCCTGTTCTATCTCCTCAGGAATCCCTGTCTTTCGGCTTTGCATGCGTTGTATTTTTTATAGGATTGTTATGGCAGACACCTTCTGGGTGTGTGAAATTGTCAAATATTGCTTTCCTGCCATTAAAACCACCAGTTCATGCGAAGCTAAGTAGTGCTACTACCGCGTATACGCGGTAAGAGCCTTTTGATTCGAGCTTGGGCCGGTAGCAAACTGGGCAGCCCATTTTGAAAAGGTGCAGTTGCAAGCTCGCGAGCCTTGGAATGTAGGTAGCTTCGTCAGCTTAGGCTCATGTGATCTAACTGGTGGTTTAACGACTATACTATGTGTAGTCGAGTCCTTTAATCATACTTGTGTCGTATCCTGATTGTGATAAACAGGTAACATAGCGAATTTCTTTCCCCTTCTTGCTCTCTCTCTCTCTCTCTCTCTCTCTCTCTCTCTCTCTCTCTCTCTCTCTCTCTCTCTCTCTCTCTCTCTCTCCCCTCCCCCCCTC